TCAGAATCTGATTTTTTTGTGTTTTTTTCAAAACTAGAAGAAGCGAAAATGGTGGAATCGATGGAGTTTATTGATATGTTTCAGACCTACAAGACAAAGAAAACGAATAGGAAAAGCTTCTCTAGCTCCAGAACCGGTACAACAAATGTCTAGTACCGATTCAACATCAAATTCCGGTTATCGGATAACCGCGCTTCCGTTTATAGCTCCACCTTCATCTCCAGCTTCATTTTTCCAATCAGAACCACCTTCTGCAACTCAATCACCTGTAGGAATCCTCTCTTTTAGTCCATTACCTAGTAATAACCGTCCTTCGATATTCGCCATTGGACCTTACGCTTACGAAACTCATCAATTGGTTTCGCCTCCGGTTTTCTCTACTTACACTACTGAACCATCTTCAGCTCCGATTACACCTCCGCCTGATGAATCCATCTACTTAACCACCACAACACCTTCTTCCCCTGAAGTTCCTTTCGCTCGGCTCTTTAACTCGAATCTCCAGAACGATAACTATGGTGGTCATAGGTTTACAATGTCTAACTATGAGTTTCAGTTTTATCAACTTCCTCCTGGTAGTCCACTTGGTCAGCTTATTTCACCGAGCTCGGTTGTATCCGGTTCTGGTCCAACTTCTCCTTTTCCCGATGGAGAAACCGCGCTGTTCCCTCATTTTCAAGTCTCTGATCCTCCTCCAAAGCTATTGAGCCCTTGTCCTAAGACTGTTACAACTCCTTCTAAAGAGCACAAGATTGCGCATAAACCGGTTTCATTTGATCTTGATGCGGATCATGTCATTAGATGTGTTGATCAGAAGCTAAGAACGACGTTCCCTGAAGCATCATCGCCATCATCAAATCCAGAAGCGATGGATCCTTCATCTCTTGGATCGAATAAGGAATTCGATTTCGGGACAGATGAGAAACATCTGACCATGGAGGAACATAGAGCTTCGACTAAGAATAACAACGGTTGGTCCTTCTTCCCTGTGATGCAATCAGGTACACTTGGCTAACCTTCACCAGAAGATCAAGTTGTTATATAGAATCTGAATTTAGAAGTCGATTTCGACACAAACCACCATACAAAGATCTTGTTCAAGATTCAAGAACGAAAATCAGCTAGTGATCTTATTAGTTTTTTTCCACACAAGTATGATGTTCTTAGATAGAATTTTTAGATGATTGTGTTTCAGGATCTTATGGATATTTTGTTGACTCTGTTTTTGGTTTTGTAATAAATGTTTGACGTTGTTAGTTGTTGTTGTACATGGCTTTGTCTTTTGTGTAGTTTTTTTATTGTATTTGTGCATACATTTGTTCGCATTCGTAAACATAATTTCATTTTTTTACTTCAGAATAAACTTTTAGATGTTTCAGTTTTTTGTTCGGTTTATTTGGCTCGCTCCGTATTCTTTACTTGTTCCTCCGTATAGCCCTACGAAAAAATATTATTTTCCCATTTCATTTTGTCCCACATCGGTGAGAAGAAGAAAAAGATTGGAAACTTTTCTCTATATATACAGGAGTGTCAAGGTCAAAATCCATTAATTTTCTAGACATTGACCTGCTTAACAGGTAACTTGCAAATACATTTGATTTCGATTTCGGGCGGGTACTTGGTTTACCAATTCATCTCGTACAAGACAAGAACGGGTCAAATCTTTAGATACTTGAACAAAATTCAATGGATAGAGATGCTCTAAATCTTAAATCACTTTCCTACTTGTTACTTTATTTGGAGAAATCAGTAGTTTTGAAGTGTCCTTGATATATATAAAAATTTTCTTACAGCAAGTTTCTTTTTTTTTCGTTTGAATTTGCATTTAGAAAAGCTTTATAAAGAGAAATGGAGGATCATAAGCAGACGAGTTTCACGTTTGAGATAGATAACTTCTCCGAAAAGCAATCTGTGATATCATCAACAACATTCTTAAGCGGCGGCTGCGAATGGTACTAAAAAGGAAAACATTTTATGAGTGTTTGTGATTTTTATCTCATCGTCTAGATTCGACAAATAACTGAAAAAATGCATATGAACTCAACCCTAAGAAAAATCTGATAAAAAACTTACAACCCTTTTGACTGGTTTTACTCAACCCTAAGTAAACCCTAAGCATGTTTACTTCCACTTGACTTCAAAGTCCGAATGCTTACACTTTGAATAACTTCGTCTTATAAGCTCGATGTTATACAATAGTATTTAATAATCTATTTTGTTTTGTGTATTAAGGTATGTTAAGGTTCATCCCAAAGGAGATCATATTGATGATCACTTGTCTATGTACCTCTGCGTTGCGAATCCAGAATCATTGCGGTTTGGATGGAAAAGACGAGCTAGTTTTTCCATCCATCTACTTAATCAATCTGGCAATGAGCTCTACAGAAAAGATGGCAATTTCATTACTTCACTATCTTTCAATTTAATATATATCAGATTGTCGAGGAAATAAATATAATATAATCTCTCTGGTTTTTGTTTTACAGAACCGTTTTGCCAATTATTCTGCGCTCAGTTCACATTAATGGGCTGGCCAAAGGCAGTGCCTCTTGAAACCCTTCAAGAAAAAGGGTTTCTAGAGAATGATAAACTGATCGTAAATGTCCTAGTAAAAGTAGCTCAAGTTGTTGATGAAGGATATGTTACTGGGAATGAGATGTTCGATGTCAATGGTTTCCAAGTTCTTCTTCCTCAGGTATGCTTACAAGGCTGCTTCTCCTTAACCTT